CTTTTACAGCATCTTCTCCCTCAAACCCTTCAGGAGACAGGAGGTGGCCCCATTTCGTCCATCTCCCAACTCTGAGGGCATCGGTCTGCACCTGGTCCGTTCCTACTGCATCCCTTGTTTCCAGTTTTCAGCTCCTTAACTATCATTAATGCCATATCCCCAGGTACTTATCACATTCCCTGTATGCACAATTACCCACCCTGCAGCTTTACATTTGCCAAAAGCAGCTGTTTTATTTAAATAAAAGATATTCGTCAGAAAAAAGTGATTTTGAATACTCACCCTTGGACCTTGCAGACCCTGCAGAGAAAAAAAAAACAGAAAGAAAAAGGGAAGAAGCTGTTAGAAGATGCTCATTAATAAATGAAAATCACCCTGTACATTTACGTGCCGTTCCCGAGGCGCCTGTGCTGGGAGGACAGTGAGAACAGGGGCCCAAGGGCCATGGCAGAGAGGTGGTTGCCGCGAAGGACGCCGATGGCCCTGGCAGCAGCAAATGCTTGCTCTGGGGCTCAAGTCCCCGCCAGCACGCTGTCCTCTGCCGTGCCCACGGACGGGGGAAACGGTGAGCAAGAAGAAACAGAGGCAGCACCCTGGCTTGTTAGAAATGTGCACTGGGATTTTTGGTGCCTGGGGGCCGTTTGTTTCGGAGAGGTCTCGTTTGAAGAAGGCATGAACCAGCCTTCTGCACCGGCTACCAGCTGTGTTTGCCGGGCTCCCATGCCTGGGCCAAGCCCCCGCGGGCAGGAACAACCACCGGTTGCTAAAGGAAGAAACCCGGAGAGCGGGGGGACCCGTGTTGTGGGTCACGAGGATGAACGACACGTATCCAGTATACCCCACACATCCCCTGTATGGCGAGAACACCACGGAGCTACGAGGAGGTGTAAAAGTCCGTCGGAGTCCCTGCAAGGAGGTGCCAGAGGAAGCAGAAGGCGAGAGGCTGCCCTGGCACTGCTGCCCCAGCTGGCCCGGGCCTTGCTGCCCCGGCTGCGGGGGCTGCAGCCGGGCAACGTGGCCGTGCAGGCAGGTCCTGTGCCCCCGGCAGGACCAGCCTGGGGCTTCTTGGGCTGCCTTTCACTGCGGTTTGTTCCTGGAGGCGTCTGTAAAGCGTTAGCTTTTGCTGTGTAATTGGGTTAAGTGATTGGAAATGGTAGCAGCAGAGTGCACTTACATAGGCGCACGCGTGGATGTGCGTGCACATACGTGCGTGTGCACGTGTATAGATGTGTATGTCTTGCCCTCGTGGGAGCCTGATGCCACCACGATGAGCCAGAGCCCACGCGGGTGCAGCGGAGCCCAGCGTGGCTCTCGCTATTTCAAAGAGAGGGACCCTCTCACCGGCAGGATGCACCCAGGGGTGCAGACCAGCACTCACCGTTTCTCCGCGGCTGCCTTTGTCTCCCTTGGGCCCCTGTTAAAGCACAGGAGGTGACTGTTAGCAAGCTGCACTGCCTGCCTGTGTTGCCACCCAGAAGCTGCTTGCGAGGACCCAAGTGCATCTCTAAAGAACGCAGCTCAGGTTGTCATATTGGTCCACCCATCCCGAGGCAAAAAATAGCCACTACTGGATGTTTCAGCAGTGTCCAAGTTCATCTTACTGGTTTCCATCTCTGCCAGTAGCAGCCTCTGTACTGAACTCTGAGTAGCTTCACGCTTGTGTTTTTACGAAGCGCTGACCTGTGTTCATTGCCTTTGGCATTTTGGGGCAGGCAGGGATTTTCAACACTTCCCAGAATTACGCTGTTCCCAGTTTACATTTACCAGTCTTCCTCCCCGCCACCCGCCGCTGTGTTTTTTGCTCTCCCCCAGGCCAAGTTCTTTGGAAAATCTGGCAGCTTGCTTTTGAAAAACTGCAGTAACATTCTTGTCTTCTAGACTGAGCAAATCTATCAGAAAACTTGCACTTAGGTAGAGTTGTTCCTCACTTTTAAGCTAATAATCTCTCTGGAGCTATATATGCAGCCAGAGACTAAACCTGCACTTATTTCAAGCTGCTCATCTTAAAGACCATTTTGTTTCCCTTGTTACAGCAGGACTTGGGATTTACTTATGCTGGCCTCAAGCATCTCAGATCTCAAACATTATGCTCTTCTGAAAAATACAGGCAGAAAAAAAAGCAGATACTTACCGGGCTTCCCATGGGACCCTGAATGCCAAGCGGACCAATAATTCCTTCTTTTCCCTAGAAAAGAAAAAGATACACGTGAACCATCGCACGTCGCTTCTACCGCAGCAGACCCAGCGAAGGCACTTGAATCTCTTTGCCGCTTTTCAGCAACATGATCGTGGTATTGGCTGTAGCTGAAATAAAAAAACGTTTCGGAATGCAAGTCCAAAGACACAAGCCCTCACAGTACAGTTGTCACAACCCAAGTAGAAATTCCAGAAATAGAAAGATTTCAGTGTAGCATCTCCGAGGCAGAAGAGCCCCGTGCACGTGTCTGCCAGGCACGCGGCGAACAGTGCTCTGCGCTCCGTATAGCACCCTGCAGCCTCACAGAAATAGAGGACGGAGGAAGGAAGAAAATCCTCCCAAACCAAACAAACTAAAAAACCACTCACCATGAGACCTGGCGGCCCACGTGGTCCCTGGATGCCTTTGAAACCAAGGTCTCCTGGGGGGCCCTGGAAGCAAAAATGAGACACCAGGTCCCCTGAATAAACATATTCCGTGTTTATGCCCTTGCTGCAAGGACAGAGGTGCTGCCTCTTGTCTACGGGAATGGGAAGGTCCAATTTTAAAAAAATTCTTTTCCCACTGCTGTTTTGCAAGCCCTTTACTTTCTACAGAAAAGAAACCGGTCCCCCTTCACCAGGAGAATTATAAGCTGATAAAATGAGTCTAAATTTCAAATCAAGGCTCTCAACATTAGGAACGCGTATCGTGTCTCAGGTACAGACTGATGACTGATGCTGGAAATACAAGTGTCTGAAAGAGGTTCAGGTGGGGAGAACAGCTCTGGGGTCTATAAGACAGCCTTTTTCCCTCTACTGTCTACCCATTTTAACAGGAATAAGCTCCAACACAGCACATGGAAACACACACTCATTTAAGAAATGAAGATGCATAAGCTAAAGAAAGCTGGAATCACAATTCAATTTCAATAGTTTTTGCAGAGCTCCTAATAAAGTCTTACAAGTATTGCCTTGTCTGTCCCCAGTAAAGCGAGACTAGAAAGCCAAGTGGTCACAAGACAGCCTCTTACCTTTGGCCCAAACATGCCCGCAATCCCTGGAAATCCTGCCTCGCCAAAGTCTCCCTGCAAAAAAGACCCAAGCCAAATACAAGAACAACAGTAAGTTCACATTGAACAGCCGGTCACTCGAAGACATGCCAAGAGTTTAGCAGCTTCAGAGAAAGAGAAATCCATTAGTATTCTTCAGTCTAATACAGGACTGATGAGAAAGAAGTATCAAAGAAATCTGAAGGAGGAATTACACAAAAATCCAGCAGCTCTCACAGACTCATAGGTTACTCAGATCTCATAGACTAAGCCTTTTTGCCCCCAAAATGGGAGGCATTTCTACACTATTTCTAGCAGATGCTTGCCTAGCTTGGACCACAGTCAGCAGAAGCAGGATGGAGAGCATCTACACTGGGATTGATCTTGGAAGTTCACGCTGCAAAAAAACAGCTTGAAAGCCCTTTAGACCAAGCTCTTTTATTTCTAATACGAATTGGACTGACCGACTAAAGGATAATTTCAAACTATGCTTATGCAAACTGTCAAAAAAGTGCATGTTCCTACAACATAACCTCCCACTCAAACCCAGGAAAACCGTGCACATTCCCTAATTCTTTTCTTATTCAACCCTGTAGGGATTTTTGCTCAATTTCTTAAGAAAAATAATAATAAAATATTTGGAAGGCCATCAGGCTTGGATTAGCACATAGCATGCACTCTGAGAATAAACCCCCCCACACACACTGGGTAGCATGTCCTTATATAAACACCCTCATTTCACCGTGTTTGAGATGTATGTCCTTTGATATTTCCGGACTTCTCAGATGTCAAAATGCGAAATGATTCAATGTTAAAAGAAACGGGGCAGAAACATACACCAGATGATTTATCTACAGTCTTAGGAATATCAGAGATGGAAAAGGCTTGTTTGGACTCTCGGCAGGACTATGATGACCCATGCTGGATTGTGCTTTACGGGATGTTTTACAATGTCTTGTTCAGCCCAGCTGTAAATGACTCAAGCGATGGGGTTTTCACCACCTCTATTACAAGGCTATTCCGGAGTCAGTCCAGAGACTTCACTGTTAGGAAGTTTTTCCTGCCACGACAGTGAGAAACTGCTTGGCAAGAAAGGGTTTGGTTGGACTCGGTGGAGCATAAGAAAGTTTCCAAGGATACAAATTGATTTAACTGCCCATTTATGGATACTGGAAAGGAAAACTGCTACTAATGGAGGGCTAAGGTCTTTCCTGCATTAAGATAACCAGCCAAGCCTTCTTTCGAGAAGAATTTTGGACAAAAGAAATGGGAACTCAGAAGGGTTTAAATGCCATGGAGTCATCCCAGCTAAGGGGACCTGATCACTAGTTATGCAGCAAGGTAAGCAGTGGCAATACTGGGCAAGTGAACCTGCCACTTGTGGACACGAGAGGCAAAATGATAGGTTATTGTGCTGTTGGCTACTGTCTTTCAGCTTGAAGACTGCCATCACAGGGTTTAGATAAAATATACAAACAAATATATATTAATTGCCGTAGTTTGGGTTCATCTTGTCCCTTGTTTTCTGTTAGTCCTAATCTCTCTTTTCCCCAGGTTAGTTTTACATCTGTGGTCTAACTAGACCCTCTGATGGTGGTCCCAATCTAAATAGCTTAAGTATTCTCAATATAGCCTCAGGCTGAGGGCCACAGCAATGCTCCGAGGGCTGGAACAGCTCTGCTGGGAGGACAGGCTGGGAGAGCTGGGGGGGCTCAGCCTGGAGCAGAGAAGGCTCCGGGGAGACCTTCCTGCAGCTGCCGGGGTGAGAGGGGCTGGGGAGAAAGATGGGGACAGAGTTTTTAGCAGGGCCTGTAGCGATAGGACAAGGGGTGATGGTTTTAAACTGGAAGAGGGCAGATTTAGACTAGATATAGAGAAGAAATTTTTGACAATGAGGGTGGTGAACCCCTGGCCCGGGTTTCCCAGAGAGGTGGTGGATGCCTCATCCCTGGAACCATCCCAGGTCAGGCTGGCCGGGGCTGTGAGCAACCTGCTCTGGTTGGAGATGTCCCTGCTCACCGCAGGGGGGATGGACTAGACGACCTTTAAAAGTGCCTTCCAACCCAAACTGTTCTATGATTTGATGATACTGTGATCAGTGCTAAACTGGGCAACCCCACCAGCACAATAAAGAAAAGCAGTAAGGATTAGGAGCCTGCCTTGGAGGCTTTGACTGAGGGCTCTCGGTGTTTCTCCCACAGCGTGCTCTGAACTCGCAGCTCCACCGCCCTCAAATCTGCACCGATGACGCCTGATCCTGCACCTCCTGCCTGACCCAGCAGAGCTACAGACTGTCCTTTGCACCTTTCGGATGGCTTGGAGTGAAGAATTCACCTCCTACACTCAACACCTCCCACAGGCTCCATGGCTCTCGTAACAGCTCTCACCGGAGACACTGCTGAGGGCTGTCTGAGATGGCTCTGCAGCCCAGCTGCCAACACGCACCACGGCCTTGTACCCGCAGGCACGAGGATGACGTGAGCAGCCATGCTGTCCTGGGGAATGCAGGTGTGGGGTGGACACCTCTGGGCACAAGTGAGCCGTGAAGAGCAGGGAAGTGTGCACGCTGGAGAGAGCTGTGCCGACGGTCCTGCACTCACACGTAAGCTGGCTACGGGTTCCCCTGTAAAAGACCCTCCCAGGGCCCACCCTGCCATCCCAGCCTGCGGATCTGCACTCTCTTCTGCGGGAGACAGCTTGGAATCAGGGCTGATCAGCTCAGTTCGTCACTAACCGGCTGTCCTTTGGGTCCCAGATCACCAGGGCTCCCTGGAAGGCCTGTTCCTCCTGATGATCCTCGCTTCCCTGTTTGGCCAGTCTGCCCAGGCAATCCTCTTTCACCCTAAAAATAACAGAATTCAAGTAATTCCAAAGACAAGAGCTAAATATAACAACACTCAGCCGAAATGGCCATAGATGGAAAGCTGGAAAAGCGTGGTTCATTGGGATAAGGAATGTGGTTTCATCAGGAGATGCCTCAGGTCACCGAAGGTGGATTGCTGCAGGATGCACAGTGTGAGACCAGCGACGGGCACGACTGCATCCCCTCCTGAGCTTCTCGCAGAGCAGGAGCTTCAGCAGAGCTGGACCGCCCGCATCGGGGCTAAGAACAGCAAGGGGGTGAAATGTCCTCTGTCTCTACTTCCGTATGTTGTCTGTCCTGCCCTGCAGCTTCTCATAATCTCTTCCCCCCAGCAGGCTAGCAATGGATGATTAATCCATCTAAAATGTTGAAGACATGCCAAGACTTCAGCTGGAGGACTTCAGTCCTGAGGCTGCAAAGCCAACATTTGCCCTGGCACCAACTCCACAACTTAAGGGCAAGAGAGGGGCTTCTGAGAGCCAGCACCACGCTGTGCTCCCCACCTCTTCCCCTTGGCGGATGCCAGGACCAGCACAAGCCCCAGCTACTCCATCTGGGGCGGTCTGGGAGAGAGGGGCAAAGGCAGCGAGAGCCTAGCATGGGGATGAGCAGCTGGAGAAGGGCAAGAAATTTCCCTGGAGCCAGGGAAATAATGTCATATTGACACAAGGGTCTTTCAGTCATTGCTGGTAGCGGCCTGTTATTCTACCCAAGGCAGCTGGAGGGCAGCAAGTGACAGTTTAAGAGTGATGTGTTATGGGAGGCATAATTTAAATCAGCCCTGACAGCCTCTCCAAACCCAGCTGGAGTCTTCCTATTCACAGAGTCTTTCTACAAATGGCTGAATTGCTGCTGGTCCAGTTCAGATCCTGTGACCAGCCTGGACCAGGTCAAGGACCAGCAAGAAACCCCAAGGTCACAAAGCAGCTTGTCCTTGGTTCCACCCAGAGCCCATACTGGTTCCAGCTGTTCCAATCCAGTAAATATATGCTAAAAAACAAGTGCCACAAATTTCCCTTCAGCAGTTCAGGCCTTGCAGGGCGGCAGGTAGAGGATGCCCGAATTTCCCATAGAGTCATCCATCCTGGACATCCTACGGGCAGGCTGTAGCAGTTCCTTTGTAACTTCTCCAAGGCCGTGGTTTTTTAGCCAGATTTCTAATGAAAGAAGGCTAAAGTGTTCCTAGTGTGGGTATGAATAGCAGTAGGTTCCTGAGCTCAGTGAACTTTGACAAAGGCAGAAAGGTCTCTGGGACATTCAGCTGCTGCGAATGTCATGAAAGTGGATGGATGGATGGATGGATGGATGGATGGATGGATGGATGGATGGATGGATGGAAAGATCAGCCTCTAGCTAAGTGAAAGATGGCAGCAGGATTTGAGACTTCATTAGACTGTGGAGACAACAGGCTCACGTACTGGATCGCTTGTTGCAGTATCTTAGGGAGTCAGAAACTCACCTTGAATCCTGGTGGTCCCTGTGCCCCAGGGAGTCCTGGAATGCCAGGGTTCCCTCTTTTGCCTGGCATCCCTGTCACACCTTCTTCCCCATCATCACCCTGCTCTCCCTAGAAAAGAAACCCAGAAGAGGTTATAAAACAAGATGCTCTTTCCACCTCTGCACAGCTTCTGGGGGGACAGGGGAGTGGTGTGATTCTGCCTGCAGCAAGCACCAGGCATCGGGGCATGGGTGGGTCTGCAGAGATGTTTATAGAAGTCTGTGCATGCAAGTATCTGTCAGGCTAGAAACACCGGTTTATTCACAGACTTTGCCATGCAAAGGCAGCTGCTGCCTCTATGTGCACGTGAGATATGAAGAGGAGCGTATGATCCGCTCTGGGTACACGTGAACTGGAATATCTACAGCTGGACTGCATCCATTTCTTGTGTGCTACCTTTTAGTTTTCCAGCTCCTAAGTTGTGTTTGCTATTGATGCTATAAGGTTACAACTACAAACTCACAGGCATCCCAGGCACGCCATCCTTCCCAGGCACTCCGTCCACTCCAGGGGCACCCTCTTGACCCTGCCTTCCCACCACTCCTCGAGGACCTGGTAGCCCAAGGATGCCCTAAAATCACAAAGTTGTTAGTGATGGAGCTACCAGACAGCATTTGCTGGGGCAGAAAATTGAATTTTTACCTACCGGTGAGCCTCTGCTCCCTGCATTGCCCTGTGCTCCTTGCTTTCCTTTCTGACCCTGCAAGTAAAAGAAGACAGACATCGAAATTTGCAGCAGTTCTAGCACAACTTCACTTGGGAGCCTGACTTCAGGGTGTGCTTTTGGATAATGGTTGGAAAGAGTTTTATAAAAAGGAGATTTATAAAGTCAGTCGCTCCAACACTGGGGAATGAACTGCTATTTGGTTTTATTACAAGTGATTCTTCGTATGTCTTGAGAGTTCTAGGGCAGGAATGAATAGCTAGAAGGCAAGGACCTACATTTTTCCTAATACAGAGCAGATGAGGACAAATAAAGCAGGATGAACTCGAGGGAGGACTCAGTGCGCTGGCAACCATTAGAACAAGATGCTTAAAACTTGCGTCCTCTGTCAGTTCATTGACGGCACAGTGCCGAACCAAGGACCCAGCAAGTCTTCTGCAGGGCATTCAGCAAGAGCTTTTCTCTGCAAGGTAGCGTCCTCTATTTTGGAAAGTTAATGGCAATGAAAAGGGTATCTTGTGTCTAAAATTTGCAGTGCTGCTTTGTGAATAAAGACATAAAAGAAATACTCCTGAGGTTTATTAGCTGTAAAAAGAATTAATTTCTGCAGAATGAATGGAAAACTCAGCCTCATCACCTTCACTAGTGCTCTCTTAGTGAGGTCATGTACTAAAGCACTTTTAAATTGAAGCACTGCATTTTCTGTGCATTGTTTCTCCATCTGCAGAGGACCAGGCAGGCCAGCTACACGAAAGAAATACTCCTGGGGGTGCTTTCTCTGCTATTCATTAGACCCAAAGGCGGTTCCGGATTGTCCATCGATGGGTAGAGTTTATTTATGTTATCGCCTGGTATGCTTTTTGCCAAGAACACCTACTGTAGGTTAAACTATCTTCTGGCATCACCCCAGCAGGGTCAGATTAAAAATCCTGACATCTGCCAAAAGGGAGCAGGAATTTGCTGAGTATTGAGATCACATACTTATGTTTTAGCAAACAAAGTCCCTGATCTGTGAGAATAATTAGCAAGCTGTCATTATAGCCAGATGTGGAGGTAGGAGTAGGTATGAGGTACCCCAATGAACCTTGAAGGACCCATGTGTGCTGTGTTTTCTTGCTCAGTAAGGGGAAGAAGTTAGAGGGACTCTTCCAAGAAACATAAGAACTGCATGGATAAATGGACTCCAAATTTGGAAGGTTTCAAGCCAGAAAAGTTTATGGTCCAAGTGAAAGAGAGAGACACTTGCCTGGCTCAGCCTCCTTAGGGACAGACGAGCCAGCTGTGGCTGGAGGCACCACAAGCAGGGGTATGGGAAAGACAACCCATGGCAGCGACTAAAGACCTGCCCAAGATTCACCCATCATGCTGGAGCTGTAATTGTCTTGATCTTCTCCAGCTCCACAAAGCCAACAAACTATTGGGCTTGGACACTCAAATACATGTTTACAGCCCTCCCACTAGGTTCTTCACAGTCTTTCAAGGCGTAGACCATAGGCCAAATCACACATTGTGGGGAAAAACATGAGAGTCCTCTTAATTAGACAGTTTCTTTAAAGTTGGGACACTATTAATCCACCCTGCTGAAACCTACCACATCACCTTTGGATCCCTTTGCTCCTGGCTGGCCTGGTGGTCCAGGATCCCCCTACAAAACATCAGCAAGAAAAATCTGCTTGAAATTCTCTTCTGGCAGTATCTTGCATGAAGTACAAAGAACAGCATTTTTTGTGCCCTGACAACGCTGACCGTATGGAAACAATTCAGGGGAACAGCCTGTGCTCAGACAGGCCTCCTGGGGAAAAAGGAGCAAGGAACTGTCTCCAGAGAGCATTTAACAGAGTGTCAACTGGAGAAGAAGCAACGCTACCCCCTCACTCGGGTGGTGTTTGTGTTCGTGGAAATCATTCACTACATTCCAGGTGGTGCCTAGAAAACAGTGCTGAGAAGTGGGCAGGAAGGAGCCTGTTTTGAGAAAGGTACTGCAGAAGCTAAGTGCAGAATGAGTAGTTTATACACCGACTACATCTTTGGTGTTGGTACTACCTCCCTTTTGCATGCTGCAGCCCTTTCCTTGGTTTTGCCTGCATGTCAGTTATTGGAGAGCTACCTATGGAGGAGTAAAGCAGAGAGATATTTCACTACTCTTTTATGGGTCTCTTCCCCATCACACACATCTCCATCTCTTCTTCTGGCCATCCAGGGGTTTTTTGCGTGTATTTGTGTCAGGGACAATTTTTGTACTAATATCAAAGAAATGGTACACACCTGCAGAGCTCTCCTTCTTCAGCTTGTTTGAGAGCCACATATTTCTAACGTTTCTTTACTAAAGACAATCCAAACCTCCTGCTTCCATGTGAAACACTGACATCTGAGGGTCTACCATCCCTCAGAATAAACTACATCTACTGGGGAATGCAGCAGCTCTACCCATTTCTAGGCCATATGACAGACCAGTAAGATTTTACCCCAGAATAGAATCTGTTTTTCTTCCCAGCAGCCCCACAAAGAATGGGTATTGATTCAACTCTATTTCCCAATAGAAACTACATTTAATGTGCTGCTGCACTCACAGTTGCAATAGTCACATATACAAATTAGACGCTGCTGTATATAGCAAGGGAATAAAAAGTCCTTCCCTTAAATTTGGATTTAATTTAGTCTCTCATAAATGCACTGGTTTGAGAGGAAACACCTTGCAGGCAGAATAATATGGTCTTGCCACACGCTGGACCAGCTCTCACCAGCGGCATGCCAAATGCATCATTTCCAAGCAGACCCTTCCACTGTCATTGTCATCTCCTACTGCCCATCTCCTAAGATTTCTCAACCCTCTTGAATGGTTCAGAAAAGACAGTTTTGGAGACAGGCTTCTGGGAGTGCTCCCTGTTCAGTCACCCATTTATTAGTCTCAACATGTGACTCAAAATGCCCGTTCTATAGGCCAGGCTTATGGAAATGCACACGTTGCATTGCACAGCTCACCACACATTCCTTACTGCAGCCCTTCCCACCTTCCTTCCTTTTGCATCTGTTTTTCACATGCCCGTGACATTGGGTAGCTTACAATAAAGCAGCATCTCTTACAGGTAAGCCTTGCTGTCCAGGTTTTCCTCTTTCTCCGTCAAGGCCTTCTTGACCCTTAAATAAAAAACAGAGAGGGAACGTGCGTTCGTTCTGGGGTACTTTTGCGGCAATGGGAAACAAAAATGGATGTTAACATGCTGTATGGGGCAGGAGAAGATATACCTATCTGCATTCTGCTAACATAGAAACGTTGAAGCTTGCGGGTAGTGTACCTGCTCCCATGGATATGCATTGGAAAGAAATAGTTAAGAGGAACTGCTAATCACCATCTAAGCAGTAAAGAAGGCTTTCTGATGCATCCCTAAATACACACAGCACTAAAGTAAGTGAACAGTTGGAGACTGCTGTTGTACAACATAAGGCAGCAGCACCGCTACCCTGGAGAATTTAAACTCTTCTGTACATTACCGTAATGGGTTGCTCCGATCAGCTGCTTTTGGATGCAGGTAAGACATAGTCCACAGACCCTTTGCAGATCATCACCAATCAGCTGTCCCACAAAGTGGGCATCAGGAGCACAAGGGAGTAATTCGTAACCCCGGTCTTGCTTTTAAGAGATATCCTGATAAGATTTTGGAAATTTCCAAACCTCCAAGTTAACAGAGATCTTCCCATGAAAGAATCTACAGCCACGGGCACATCAGGCTTGAATTTTGTCCAGCATTGACATGACCTCTCTTGTACACATCTTCCCCAGGGTATTTCCTTGATAATCACAAATACCTCTGATGAGATGGTCCTGCTCATTCTTTCAGTCCAGTGTGCTCAGGCAGGTGCATGGCATTGTGAGATGCTGACCTGCAGGACCTGTATTTGCCTTCAGCAAAATTTTTACCACTTTAGGTAAAGATATCTGAATTACTCCCGGTTTGAAACACAGCCATGTGCTGTGGTTGACAAGGGACAACTGTGGGTTATGAATCGTGACTACTGGGCAAAGGGTAGTCCTTCTGTGAGCTGATGCAGATTGGAGGCACTTCCCTAAGACAAACACTTCTGAATCATCTATTTGGAATAAGACTCACAGGATAGCCAGGGTCTCCAGGCTCCCCTCGATCACCTCTGTCACCAACAGGGCCCTAAAACAACACAGCGAAAACTTAAGGTGGATATAAGCAACTTGTCATCTGCAATATCTCAATGGCTTGTGCATATTCTACAAGAAAGGAAACAACCCAACTAATCCCCTTGCAAAAATCAGCCCAGGGTTGAATAAAAAAGGGATTTAAGATCTTACTCTGTCTCCAGGTGGTCCCTGTGGGCCTTCTACCTTCCCGTCATCACCTTGTTCTCCCTGTGAATAAAAATGCTAGTGTTAATATAGACAGCAGATTATATGGCAGATGCTTCTGTACTGACCCGATCCAGTCCTCCCGTATCATGGGCCCCTAAGTCTAGGTCTCTGTTGAATTTATTAACTTTTCATCTAAAGAAAGCCTAAACAATTTTTTGTTTGTTTGTTTCACAACCTGGAGTACACTGACTCTTTGCATCGCTTTCCTGGTTTCTTTGGTGGTTGAGCCTGCCTGGTCTAACTGTCCTCCCAAAGGAACCAGGTGCAAACGGTTATTTTCAACAATTCCTAAAACTAAGCAAGAAGCATGTAATTATGACAACATGGGAAATAGTTCCCTGCCTCTGAATTCTATTGCCAACAGTCAAACCAAACTCTTTAATCAAGCATTTCCCCACTGTCACTGAGTGCTGCCTGGGCTGTCATGGGAACAAGGGTGGTCTGGATGGGCTCCCTGGTCATGTGCCACTATCGTGGGCTTGTCTTACAATTGATCAGGTGAAAGGGTCAGCCCCTTACACACTCGCTGCGTGAGCAGCTCCACTCGTTGATGGGATGCTCCACTGCAAGAGCTCAGAGCTCATGGTTTGGCTGGTAGATAACATCACCCGGATTATTTATAACTGAGGTCTCTCTAAAACATCCACAGAGATCCCTCAAGACTTAACACAGACACTATCTTTTTTAATTCTGTTGTATAAGTCACTCAGGGTCGTGGTGTCCTATTTTCTCTGGAGTCTAGCTCAGAGACGGCTGTTTCTTTGCTCCCCATAGAAGAGAGCTACATTCCAGCTCCTCCAGTTTTTGGCTTCATATCAGTGAGTCTTTGGCATTCTGGCTCCTTAGGATGAACATGTCTCAGAGCTCCTTTGATGTTGCAGCTACTGGAGATGGGAAGTCTGGGGGGTTCTGGCACAGCAGAGCTGCTGTGTTTGGAGTGCTTGAGGTGCTCCTAGAGCCTTGAACATCCAAATCTCCATAGCTATGTAGAGCCAAGTTTTCCACAGACTTCTGTAATTCTCAGTGGTTGCATCAGCCCTTTTTGGTGTATTTACAACTGTCTTTGACTTTCTCTCTGGGCTACTCCCATCTTCTGTTTGAGTTGCAGCTGGTGATAGTAAGGGTGCTTAGGCAATTTCTCAGTGATCCTGCCTCTGGGAGAAGGCATTTGGAGTGCTTTGCTTGTATGTGATGTTTGGTAATGACACACCTGGAGCAATGAATAACCCTCAGTGAAAAAACTCAGAGAGTGGAGCCAATAGATTCTGTTCTGTAGGAACTGGGTCATGGCTTGCAATCAGGGCTGTGCTGCTGCTGAGAGACTTCTGACTGAAGTCAGACCCACACTGACTTCTCACGGGCTGAGCACCAGCACTGACATTTACAGCTTGGTAGAACAAGGCTCAAGGTTTGGCAAAATCTCTTGCAGTTAACCTGAACAGGTAGCAAAGAGCTCAGTGCATCTTTCTCCATTACATGCTTGATGACGGTGGCATTTTCTTTCTCTGCTGCTGCGACATGTGTTGGATGAATGTTGCCAGGATTTCATATATACTCATGGGTTATAGTTATACCGTCCTTAAGAGTTCGTGTGCTGGGTGGAGTACTCCAGCATACTTGTCCAGGGTTTTGGGGAGGCATCATCATGGTAGAAGAAATATATAGGGAGAAACTGTGCCAGGATGGCTTAAGGATATAGTACTGAGCAATATGGATGGAGAAATTTGGGTGGCCGAGTAGAGAGAAAGAAAAGTAATGCCTAACAGGCTCTGCCAACAGTTTCCAGTGCTACTGAACTTGCTGGTTGAAGTCAGCAGCAGAATACCTGGCAACTGGTTTGCTTTCTAGCCACTATCAAAGGAATGTAGGCTAGAAGGGAAACAAAGCCACCATTTCTCAACTCTCAGGGAAAAAATCCCAGTATACTTGTTACTATGCAGAAGTCCTGGCACTGATTGCTTCTTCCCAAACAGGATGTGAACACCTTGCCGTTTGGGAGCTGAGACAAGCGTGATGAACTTAAAGAAAGCTCATAACTCTGGGGACCCTTGAAGAGCATCAAGACTCACACTTTCACCCCAAGACTGAGTTGTGGCTTTGTGTCCCCTTGAGCCTAATTCCTACCTTGTCTTTATTCTTCTAACTGAGAAAATCCTGCAGCCTGGTCAGCTCTAGGACTGCGAGACTGAGCTCCTCCAGGACTTCCTGATGCCTCAGCTGCTCAAGAGGGAGATGAAAGGTCTGTGCTAATTCTTTGGAAAGTTACAGTGAAAAAAAGTTAGAGTAAAGGGCAGCAAAGTAAACATGTTGGGATACAAATGGAAAATGCATGGAGAATAAGGGAAGGCTTGTTGTTGTTGGCTCCTGTCCCAAAGTGAGATACACCAGTTTGTAATTTTTAAAAGGATCCCATCTGGACTGCTTTAAGCAGCTGCCAAGTGCAGGCGTCTGCTCTGAGCAAGGCCTCTTTGAGGAGCTGTAAACGTATTAAATGCGGCGGAGTAGCTGGCTGGTATGGCACAAGGGAGCTGGATTCCACAGTAATGCCTCTCACCGAGCCGCTTTCCTCTCTGGAAAAGGGGAGACCTTCCTTCAGCACAGCTCGGTTTACCACGTTGTTTAAAGCTCGCAGAGCAGTCACGGTTCATTTTTAGTTTTCTCTTAATTTCTCAGATTCAGGCTTCCATTTTCATGTTTGCACGCATGTGCAAGGTTACAGATGTCTGGAGGGAAAGAATCTGTCTCTCCTTAGGCTGGGATCCTGGCAACGCTTAGGCGATAAGAAGGAAGGATGTATAAGAGAACTTAGATGTGAGACTTTGTGGAGCACCTGGATGCTGCGGGAAATGGTGCTGGTGGCTCAGCACGTGATACTGTGCTGTCCTCGTTCATCTGGAGCTGCTCCCCAGCAAGGTGCCAGCAGACCCGCTGACCTTCCAGGAAGACACGAGTGAGATCCGGCTGTCAATGATCATGAACAGATCTGACTGTTCCCAGCAGGATGCATTAGACGCTTTGGTGTCTTTGTCAGGCTTCAGCTTGGATACTCGCATGTAGAATTCATTTTATCATCAGCATTGCTATGCTCTGATGACACAAGGTCCATGTTATCTCCGAGGGATTGCTCTTCTAGCATCCATTTGCAGAAGAATATTTTGTTGATGAAGGGGGGAGCGCTTCACTGAGCACTTCAGATTAATAATTTGGGGAGCATTCACTACTGAAATGATAGGAGCTTTCAAGAAGATGGCAACTTTCAACGTTTTAAAATAAAACAACGGCTGCATTTAAACAACAGAGGTACATATCTGCACATCTCTTACTCCTTCTGCTGTAAGGCCAATGGCTTTTTGCCAGGATGCTCAAGTTGCAACAGTGGGACTGCGAGAAACCTGTGAGAAAGCATTAGAAAGGCTGGGGGTGGAGAGGAAATGCAGCAAGGCAGCGATGGAGATGAGGAGCAGCAGGAACGTCACCAGCTGTTCCTCCATGGATGTGTTTCAGCAGCAGACACCGAGAGAAAAAGCAGTATGACCATTGTTCATCCCAAAGGCAAAATTTCTCAGGCATTGCGAATATGTTAGCGGAAGACAACAGTCCACCCTGCCCCACTGCCTCCCGGCCACCTGCACAAGGAGTCTCCAGGCAAGACAGAGAGCAGCAGGAACAGCGTGTCCCGACACCCAGGAGCCTGAGCTGAAGGGACACGTTCAGGTCCAGCAGAGACAAGCCCTCGGGCTCTCTGTCCCACGAACTCCTTTTCTAAGCAATGAAGCTCCTGCTCGCACAGGTACAGCTGCAATCAGAGGGAAAGCCGAAAGCTCTCTCGGGGATTGGGAGTGAAAAATGAGCGAAAAGAGTTCATGCATGTTCAAAAGAGTCCTCTTCATGGGGACGCCATGACCGACCGGTCCCCATCTCCACCACTTCCCTCCCCACACCGAGCGAGGGAGCATCGCTGCCGCTACTGAAGGCACGTGAGGGGCTCCAGCGGCATTGCGAGAACAGCCAGGGCCGGCTGGGGGGCGCT